CCCAAGTTCCACAATTAAAACTACCCAAAAGGTAAAAAATCACAAAAAGGAAAAAATCCACTCAAAAAATTTAAAAAGTAAATAAATGAGAGAAGAGATATGACCATGGGACTGCTGATGAGCCTAATTGGTACCATACTTTTTCTGACTTTTTACTATTATTAAAATTTTATCTTTCTCAGTTGCCGAAGGTATTTTATGCCGAGAAGGTCCTACTTTCACACAAATATACATTTTTCCTTGGATATAAAATGAAGAGAAAAATCATGTTTGTCGCAGCTCATATAATTGAGCTTGTTTGGAACAAAATGAGCCAATTTATCCGCGAGTCTGCTCGTTGCCTGAAAATTACTATACTGATGAAAACATCGATAACAAATTGGATGCCTTGATAACGAAAGACCAGTGATCAAATTAGCTTTCTCTTGAACTCCTCTGATGAGGTGGTATCATCTAAAATACGGCTCAACCTAAACCAATAATAAAAAACCTCAACTTGCCTTCTACAATTAAAACCAGCCAAAAAGGTCAAAAAAACATAAAACGGAAAAAATCACCCAATCATAAAATTTCAAAAGAAAATGTATTGGTGAAGAGAGGAGACAGCGGGGCTGCTGTTGTTCCCTATTGGTATTGTAAAAAAAAATTCTGACTACCGGCGATCATATTACTATCTGAAACATAATAGATTTGGTTAATGTGGAGTTGTACTTTGAAGAAAAAAAATTTCCGCATTGAATGGGGCATATATTTTTTGTATAATTTTGAAAATAGCTGTTTTTTGACATTGAAATTCTGATTTTGATTTGTCTTTTTTTCAACGATTTATAATTTTTATATTTTACTGTAAATTTTTTCGAGTCTTCCAAATAAGATTGAATGTAATTAAATAAAAATATTGGAGCAAATGGAACCGATTATGTGAACAACTGGCATCATCTTCACTGCTTAAGTTCCAAATATATTCTGATCCTCTCATGACTGAATTTGTACAAATATGGGCGATTTATAAACTTTTTTTAAATATCTGTTATTTACACCTTGTTCTCCTCAGTTGCATAACGGATTTCGAGCCGAGAAGATTCTTCTTTCAAACGAATATTCAACGTTTCTTGGGTTTCAGGATGGACGAAGCTTTTGATTATCTATTAGATTAATACATGAACATTTTCATCTTATAAAGAGTAACATTTTCGCCAAACTAATTATCCCTATAATTAGAAATGCAAGGCTAATTTATTAAACGGCTTATTATTTTGACAGATGTTGCCTAGTGAGGGTCATTTTGACCTTTTATTAGGCTTGAGGTTTGGTTTAAATAAATTTTTCCTTTATAAGGATGGTGTGAAATTTGTTTCTTTTGTGTTTTTCTTGGAAATGTTAATTAATTTTAAATTAATCAATAGGTTTGCTTGTAGTAACAAATGTTTTTAAAATGGTGCTTTACTTGATGATTTACTTTAGCGAAGAAGCGAATTATTGGGATTAACAACTAAACAAAAGAAATGCGTTTTTTTAAACTTTTTGAAATAACTTTGTCACTTTTTGACCAATTTAAAATGCGATTGCTCCAATTTTTTTCAACGTAAAAAAATCCTTTAAAATGATATGTCAGGATGTATAGGGTTGTATTTGAAATTTTGACGTTGAACTGGGTCTGAGGTACCCTGTATAATTTTCTTCGGTCTTCCATACATCTCATAGACTGATGTATCCAAATTCACCTCTAATGGCATACAAACGGTTGGAATTTTCGAACGAAGGCAGAGAAAATCCGAGAATTTCATACTCTTGCCCTGTATAATTTTTCTCCAAAAAAGGTAAAAATTTGCAACCAGACTAAAAAATATTAAACACGTAATTTTCGTATTTTTGATAGCGGCATTGGTTCAAGAGAAATTCAGCCGGGCCATCTAAAAAGGACACCCTGTTTGTATATTTTTAAAAACAATTTAGTCACGCTTTTTAATTTTAATTTAAGGTTTTAATTATTGTCAACTACGGTTTTTAAAGTCTTGTTAGAGGTTTAAAAAATATTATATTGTAATCAAATTTATTAAGACAATGTAACTTAGCCCTGGAGATGAATGTAATAACTGTAACTGGTGATATCTAGACGGTCGATTCATCTTACCTTCATTAATAAACTTTATTTTACCGAACTCAGTCATTTTAAATTCAATGGTTACGGATGGCTAGGGTCAATTATGGCAAACATATATGGATTAATAAAATAATTAAAGAAGTAATTACATCGCCAACAGCTCCTCGTGGCCACTAATAAGTCGCTGAAAATCGAATCCTGATTATACGACGTTTGAAAAATGGCAAAAAGAGGGAAAATTCGAACGGTTGTAGGTTGAGATGCGGAGTTGGTGTCCAAGTGGATCGAAGTCACGATAGCTCAAGTGGATAGAGCAGCGGCGTATTGAGCCGAAGGTCGTGGGTTCGAATCCCCCTCGTGACATCAACTTTTTCATCTCAACCAAGACCTTAGTATAATTAAGTGAGATAATATTAATATTCTTGCTAAAATTCAAAGGAGGGGATGTGCTACTACAATATATACCAAAATATCACCAGAAGTGCCTTTCCAATTCAAACGATTGCAGTTTCCAATTAAACTGTCTTTTGCAGTAATGTTAAACAAATCACAATGACGGTCATTGCTATTATGTAAATTGAACTTGGAGAATCACGATTTTCTCATGGACAGTTATACGTCGCATGCTCCAGCCCTCCAGGAAACCAAGGGATTTTTGTTTGCATATATTGCGAATGGAATCACCAAAAACGTTGTACATCCAAGTACATTGCAATGAATTTAACGCTGAATGTAACAGTATTTACAATTTAATACAATGTATCGGGTTGTCCGGAAAATAATGCAGGATTTTAAGTTTTCATTAAAAAAAATCTATATAAAATATTCTGTTTACGTTTACAGGATTACTCATTTGTATGAATGTCAANATATATATACAATATAGTTATACATATACAAAGTTGTTTCATGATTGGCCTACTAGTGAACAGGTTAGCCTGGTCGTATCTGGTCCGAATTCAGTGTTGGGCAAAAATCAGTCATGTCTAATGATTAATGATTGATCACTCAGACCGTTAGTCATGATTGGTAGTAAGTGACTAATTTAGTCATTAGTCGCCATATATGATTGATGGCTAAATTAGGCATGATTAGTAATTAAATACGAGGCATGACTAATTTAGTCACAATATAGTTAGTCACGACTAAATTTCGATAAATCATGTTCAAATGGGTGCTCAAAAAATGAAAAATACACTTCATCACTTTTAAAAAATTTTCTAACAGAAATTCATTTCATCAAAACGAAAATCCTTCATCACCTTATTTAACAAAAATCAATCTTACAATTACAAGTAAAACTCCGTCGTTATAAAAAGCCAAAAAATAATGATAATAATAATAATAATAAAATAAAATTTAAAAAATCCTAGAACAAGCTACGCTTTGAAAAGTAAGTATCTATGTTTACATAACCGATCAATGGAAAAAATATTTCTTTGAATTAAAATTTATTCCACTTGAAAGGAGAGATTTCTACATTATTTGGAAAATACACCATCTAGGGATCTTGATTGTAATAAAATAGACATGTAGAATAATTATGTAACTTTGGTTTTCGTTTGTGATAACACTTTTTGAAGGTTGGCCTTGAGCACGACTCTCATCCCAAAATTTTTATCCGGAGTCGGTTGGATTTTGGTAAGTTGGTCATTGGAGCCAGAGTTGGGCAAAATCAAACTAATTCAATCATGATTAAGAATTTTGATTGAAGTTTAATCATGATTGAATTAGTCATGAGTAAATTAATCATTATATGATTTATTCATACCTCATGATTGAATTAATTATGATTAAATCATATAATGATTAATTTACTCATGACTAATCCAATCATGATTAAACTTCAATCAAAATTTTTAATCATGATTGAATTAGTTTGATTTTGCCCAACTCTGGAATTCATCTCTTAGTACAAGAGTTAAAGTTCGCAAAAAGATTCAAACAAGCTTGGCAACTATTATAATAATCTATTTCCTAAGTTTTTAAATTTATTTATTGATTGCTGAAGAAACAATGAATATAAAGATTGAAAGATAAACCGTTTGAAAAAAAATTGTGTAAATTTGAAAGATAAGCAAAAAATAATCACTCGACATCTGTCCATCATTCATTGAACCTTATACAAATTGTTAGTAGTGAACGATTAGATCCAGCCTCCCTTCCACAAATCCTATTTCATTGATAAATTTAGTTGGGGAGAATCTTCAGGAAGTACACGGCCACAAAAGATAAACATTATTTGATTAGCCTTATTAGTAAGTTTTGATTTTTTTTTGTCTAACATTCTCTGATGATAATTATTTATTACTATTTTGAGAATTTTTTTCCTAGATTACTTTTTTTTATCTTGATTTTAGTGTTTTATTGAGTTGTCTGGAAAATAATGCAGCTTTATGATTATAAAATACAAACAATTAAATAAATGATTTTTAAAAAAAATTGATTTATTAAAATAAGCTCCATCACTCTCAATACACTTCTGCCAACTAGATGGCAACTTCTCTATACCCTCTGAATAGAATTGAGTCTTTATTATTAACAAATTTTGGAAAAGCATTTTCTAACGACTTTTGAACAATAAAATTAGTCGGAAGGCTAGAGGTCAGTACAGTTTTAGTTTTACATATTTAATTATAAATGTTGGTTAAACAAAAATATTGTTCAAGTATTTATAGTTTAATATTTACCAAATTGTAAAATTTAGTACCACCAAAAGGAAATTGGAAGACAGTTTTGAGCATCTGGAATAAATAAGTACCCAACTTTTTAAAAGATAATTTTTATGTGTTCTCCCATAGATTATAACAATATTTTTAACCTGTATTTAAATTAGTTCTAAAACAACAATAAATGTAAAATAAAAATCACAAAATTGTTTTTCTCTGCCTTGTAGGGCTGTCATCCAACAGATCCAAACAAACTAAATATACATTTAGTGCCTCATACTCACGATGATGCAGGGTGGTTGAAAACAGTTGACCAGTATTATTACAGGAGTAAGTGAAGTGCAGAAAGAAGGTCAACAAAAAATAAAAATAATCTTAGCCCTCTTCTGTAAAATCTGTAATTGATGTATTCTTTTTATCAATTAGGCCAAAATTACCTTGCGGAAGGTGGAGTCCAACATATAATAGATTCAGTAGTCGCTGAATTGAACGTTGATCCATCTCGAAGGTAAGTTGTCTGATTAAATTTGTCGATTGTCAACTTATGGAATAATACATGTTTCAGATTTGCATATGTCGAAAGTTCATTTTTATGGAGGTGGTGGAATGATCGCAACGGTTTTTATCGTGATCTAATGAGGACTTTGGTGCAACAGGGAAGATTACAACTTTTACATGGAGGTTGGGTCATGAGCGATGAAGCTACACCACATTACTCTATGTTAATCGATCAAATGATGCTGGGCTTGCGGTAAAATTATTTATTCGTTTAGATGTAAAATAATTTTATTATAAACTCCGTTTTCTTATTGTATAGTATTTCATGTATCCCAGGACTGAAATCTTCTGTATAAAATGCAATTTTTTAAAATAAAATTTATGATTTACAGTTTTCTTGAAGATAAATTTGGTGTTTGTGGAAAACCGAAAGTGGCATGGCAAATTGACCCATTTGGCCATTCAGCAGAAGTCGCCCAACAGTTAGTAGATATGGGATTCGAGGGAGTGTTTTATGGAAGAATACATCAAGGGGATTACGAAAAAAGGAGAGTGATGAAAGAAATGGAAATGATTTGGAACATAAATCCACTAGACAACAAAGGTGAACATAACAAAACATTTTTCCGGATTATAGTGAATAATATGAATACACAATTTTAGGATCTAAATCTGAACTATTTACTGGCATTTTATACAATCTTTATCATCCGCCGCCTGGTTTCTGTTTTGATATTATGTGTAATGATGAACCACTGATGGATAACAAAGAGCTACATAGTTATAATATAGACAAAAAGGTATTCTGATTGTTAATTATAACTTTTTTTAACCCCTCCATTCATGACAAGGTTACACAGATCCCACCTTCATTTATACTAGTAAATACTTCGTACAAAAACAAAACCCATTAAACACTATGCAAAGTTAAAAGAAATAGCGAGACATCAAGGTACTTCATATTATGATATTATTTTCATGTCGGGTACTCTACATTCTGCCACAAACCTACCCACAAATAATCAAACACTCACACTAATGAATACATTCATTAAACAACACAACCTTTTGATCAGTTTGCACTGTTACTCTATATTTTGCCACAAACGAACCTGCACGTTCTCAGGCATTCACACTAATAAATACATTCAATCAAAAACAAAACCTTTATTCACAGTTAAAAGTAAATAGCCGATTGACACATGGGCACCTGCTTTTGGGCCAAAGCCCGCGCAGGTGCCCCTTATGCAGAGAAAGGTTGCTCGATGTGTCCCACATAATAGAGGCGTGTCATGCCTTGGCTCCATACAGAGAGCGTGTAGGCATGCCGCCGGACTTAAGAAGAGTTCTCGAACATGGTAGCGAGTTTGGGGGAGATTGGGGTTTTTTTTTTTTATTGTATATAGTATGTCTTATCTATTATGTTTTGTCTGAGTGCATGTATTTATTGGCGTGAATGGCGAGGGGTGAGGCTGAAATATAACGTCATCATCACTCCTCGAACGATGAGAGCGTAAGAGTGTGTGTTCGGGGTCGATGGCGGAATATTTATAAAAGTACCCCATCGACCCCAATCTAGATTAGTTTGAGTATAGGGTCGGTGGAGGAATATCAAGTACTCCACCGGCCAAACGGAATGAGTGTACTGAATGGATGTATTTATGTATATTATGTGTATGAACAAGTAAATAGCAAGTCATCAAGGTTGTTATTTTCATATGGGGGTACTCTATATTCTACCACAAATCCACCTAAACATAATCCAAGACTCATGCTAATAAATACATTCATTCAAAAACAAAACATTTCAAACACTAGTTAAAAATAAAAAGCAAGTCATCGAGGTATTTGATATTATTTTGATGTGGAGTACTATATATTCCGCCACAAACCCACTCACACTAAAGTGTATAAACATAACTTTTCAAACGGTATACAAAGAAATAGGGAACCATGAAGTTATTTGATATTATGATATTATTTTGATTTGGGGTACTCTATATACCAACACAACCTCAAAACACTCAAGCTAATAGATACATTCACCCAATAAGGGATAACCAAGTGTTAAATATATTCAAATAATACAACCAAATGCATTTATCCACTTCAGGTATCCAACCAATTTCTTCAATTCTGTTTCAAAAATTCTTTTAGACTCATGTAAAGGCCACATCTTGTCCAGTCCACCCATTACTGTTACAATAACATAGCTATTAAATTTCTTATAATATAATTATAATACTTACTATAAATTCAAACAAATGGGTAACTATATTTTATAGCAAAAGGTTTTTTTTTCTGAGTTGATCATGTATATTATTAGTTTCCCATTTTATTAAACTTCACTCCTATTTATTATTTTCTTGTAGCTTATTTATTTCTGATCATCTTGGTCTTCCTTTCCTGCTGGTTTTGCCATCTTCAATATTCTGTGAGTTATATCAACAAATTTATAAAACAACACAATAAAATTGAATGAATATTTTTAAAATCAGAAATTATAAGGGTACCAGTATGATCAGATTGTTTCACTCCCTCGAAGTGTCAATTTAAATGCTTGATTAAAAATTAGTCTGTTTTACATTTTCTATCTGATTTTTTTTCGTCAGGTGCCAGAGTTTATTCAAAAGATTAAAATTTGGGCAACTTCATACAGAACAAACCATGTGCTTGTGCCAATGGGAGGTGATTTTACATACATGATGGCTGGAACATGGTTTGTCAATATGGATAAACTAATAAAGCAAGTACACTTCATCGAGTGCTAATAATTAATTGCAAAATGGTTAAACATTGAAAATATACTAACTGTATTGTCAATAGGTATGGAAATAATGATAGCAGCGTACATTTTCTGTATTCCACACCTTACTGCTACTTGAAAGCGTTAAATGCTAATGGTAAAGTTTGGCCAGTTAAAACAGGAGGAGATTTTTTCCCATATTCTTCATCAGACAGTCTGTATTGGACTGGCTACTACACATCGCGGCCATCATTGAAACTTTTAACAATGAAGGCTAATAATATCTTACAGGTACTAGATTATAATACTGAAAAATTCAATTTCAAATCCTCATAGTATTAATCAAAAATATAAAATTAAATCCAGCCATAATCAATCACCCTTAATTTAATGTATTAATTAATGTTGGAACACTTCTAAGCGTTTTGCCATATTCAGTGCAATCTCAGGGTTTATTTTACATAAATAAATTACAATTACTAACTTCAGAACATAATTTCCTTCTTTTTTAGTAACCAATTTAATTGGAATGGGAATTTTTTTTGTAATATTGGCATAAACTGTTTAAAATAAAATTGTTCTCAACGCATTGTTTGAATTTCAGGTGGTAAGACAGTTAGATGTATTAATGAATCTAAACCAAACAGAATGTATTAACAAACTGGAAAGAGCTGTCGCCTTAGCACAACATCACGATGGTATATCTGGAACAGCTAAGCAGCATGTCACTGATGATTATCTTTTATATTTGCATGAGACAATTGAAGGGGTTCAAACGCTTTTCCATTCAGCTTACAAGTAAATGTTATAACATTATTATACAAAGTACAAGCATATATANGAGTACAAATACTTTGATTACAAAATTTTCTAGCATTGTATAAATTCATTTTTTTTCACATCCTAAATGTATTTGTAAAATTTAAACAATGTTTATAAAACCCAGGCCCTGAAGATGATCTCATTAAAAATTGAAAAGTTGGCACGATAAAGAAAATGTTTTTCTAAAACTTACGTCACACCAGATCGCATCTCATGACCTCTAAATAATCGTTAGGGTTAGGGTTGGGATTGATTTACTTCTCAGGCTAATTAATTAAATTTTGAAGACACCTTGGCATACTTTCTACCAGCCAGGATTTTTTTTCAATATACAAAGGTAAACTGTGAATCTCAATAACTTTTTTCCAAAATATACTCATTGTAATATATTGTATTGACAGTTGTAAGTTTGTGTTTTGATCTGACAAAATCTAGGATTGGGTCTGATAGACAAAAGCAACAAGTAAACCAGAATGATCAGAGAGGATCAGATGCAAACTCAACCTTGTAATTTTTTTTCGCTGGAATTTACCTCATTCTCCTTGAAGAACACATTCAAGATTCTCTAGTTCATAAGGAGGAAGCTCTTACACACCATCCATGTGCTTTGTTGGTATTATGGGCAGGCTAGATTAGGTAGGGTTAGGATAGGTTAGGCTAAGTTAAGTCAGGTAGGTTTAGGGTTATGTTAGAGCTAGGGATGTGCTAGGTTAAATATTCCAGATTCAATGTTTTTCTATAAATCGGAGAAAATGTAAGTGCAAAGTGCCATTTTTGATAATATGGTGTAAAATAAATTTTTTTTATTGTTTTCACCTATTTAGTAGCACATATTTTTCCTTTTGCATTAATTAAAATCTTATCATCTTGGCATCCTTTCTACCAGCTAGGAAGCTTGTTTATACTGGAGGAATACTTTCAAAATTCTACCTTTAATCAGGAAGGGCTGCATGAATTCTTACTTCTCCTATGTTCATATCTTATGGTCTACGTTAGCGTTAGGGTTATAGGCAGGCTAGATTAGATAGGGTTAGGATGGATTAAGTTAGGCTAGGTCAGATAGGTTTAGAATAGTGTTAGAGTTAAGGACATGCTAAGTTATTGGGTTGTCCGGAAAATAATGCAGGATTTTGGTATTAAACAAAAAAAAAGAAACTAGTTACTTTAAAGCAATGTTCTTTAATCAAAATAATTTCCCATACTCTCAATACATTTCTCCCAACGTGTTGGTAACTTATTAATTCCGTCTGAGTAGAATTCAGAATTTTTAGAATTGATAAAGTCAATAAATGCATTTTCCAGTTCCGTTTGATTTTTGAATATTATGTGTTGTAAGTAGTGGTCCAGGTGTCTAAAAAAATGGTAGTCAGTAGGCGAGAGGTCCGGAGAGTAGGGTGGGTGAGGCAAAGTTTCATAGCCAAGCTCCAATAATTTTTGTGACGTTACACGTGACACATGTGGTCGAGCGTTGTCATGCAACAAAATGGGCCCTTTCCGATTGACCAAAGAGGGCTTCATTACTGCCAATTTCTGATGCATGGTATTAATTTGGTTACAGTATGATTCAGCATTGATGGTTTCGCCAGGATTTAAGAAGCTGTAGTGTATTAAACCAAATGAAGCCCACCATACCGTAACCATTACCTTTTTTTGATGAGTTGGGGGCTTTGGAAAATGTATTGGAGCTTCTCCTTTGTCGAGCCACTGTCCAGAACGTCTAGTGTTATCGTAGAGAATCCACTTTTCGTCACATGTAACAATTCTGGCCAGAAATGGGTCATTTTTGTTTCGACAAAGAAGTGATGCACAAACATCAAAGCGCTGATTTTTTTGGCGATCGTTTAATGAGTGTGGAACCCAATTTTCGAGTTTTTTCACTTTTCCAATCGCCTTGAGGTGGTCAGCGACGGTCGTTTTACTGACTTTGAGTTGCTCTGCAAGTTCTCGAACAGTTGTTTTGGGGTTTTCTTCCACCACTGATCGCAGAACATCATCATTAAGAGAGGAAGGCCTTCCACGACCTTCTTCATCTTCAAGGCTGAAATCTCCCTCCCGAAATTTTTTAAACCACCTTTGCACAGTGCACTCATTAACACAACCCTCGCCCCAGACTTGGTTAATGTTTCTAGCCGTTTGGGCTCCGCTTCGGCCGAGTTTAAACTCGTAAAAGAAAATCGTACGAAATTCTCGCTTTGACATTATAAGGATGACTGAATTATTTCCAAGTAGCGGAATGCTACAGAGGTAAACAAACAATATCATTTGGAAGAGGATTAATAAGTGTTGACATTCATACAAATGAGTAATCCTGTAAACGTAAACAGAATATTTTATATAGATTTTTTTTAATGAAAACTTAAAATCCTGCATTATTTTCCGGACAACCCAATACATATCCCAGATTTGATTTTTTTTCTGTTGATTAAATATACGAGTGCAAGTTTTCAGTAACATGATGTATTTAAACTTGTATTTGTTTTCACTGAAGGGCTAACCGTTCTTTTTGAATAAAGCTTTCAAAATTCTGGAATGTAACATCAAGGGCTGAATTTATTGCACGCCATTGAATTAAAAGATGGTTAGGGATGAGCCAAATTTGAAAGAAAACACACAATTCCTTCACCAAGGTTTTGAAGAATACATCCTCTTCAACAGAACTATAAGAATATTTATTTCAACTTGAGTATAATAATCTATAAGTTTAAAATGATTAACAAATATGGCCATGCACGATTGCGACACCTTAAGATGAAAAAATATATTTTTTTAAACAATCTACCATGTTTCTATATAAGTCAATTTTAATTTCATCATATATAAAATTATAGTTTTTATCTATATTTTTAGGACTGAATATGAATTATTTTTATTCATACTGACCTACTAGTTTATCAACTAACATTAGTGTTACTTTCTGTTTGTCTTGTTAAATTTATTATTATTTATTGAATTTATTATTCAGTTTATTTATTGTATATTAATCGTTATTAGTATAAAACGTGTAATTATTATATCTTTATGATTTCAGAGTCTGGACAGGCCATGGTGAACAGCATCATTTTTGCTTAAACACTAACATAAGCGCATGTGAAATTTCAGAAAGATTCAATAAATTTATCATCCACATTTACAACCCGCTTACCAAAGATGCTCACAAATTTGTGAGACTGCCAGTCCAAATAGATTACAATTATGTCGTGTATGGCGATTTGGGTAATATACAAAGTTCTTACGAATTTCCATATATATGAATATTTTTTGGCTTTATGTGGATGACATGTGGCTCGGTTATTTATATATAAGTCATAAGCTTTAACAAATACATTAAATAGTGTTTGTTGATATCACTTTTAAATAAAACCAAAAAATATTCAATTGTAAGTGCAATTTCTAGGAGCATTCATTATCAAACACCTTGCTCCTCAGATGCAGGGGCACAAAAGCCCATCCATTTAACACGATCCCTAATTTACAATGACCCTATCTTGATGAGCTCTGTCTGAAATTTATGAGAATTTTCCCTTAATAAATAACTTCGTCTTTTTTGTTATTTAAAAGGCCCCAAAATGCTACGTTGGTCTTTCTTTAAATTATTCAGATTCTTTACATTATTGCCTCGTGTTAACAATTATTTCACTACGTACTAATACAGGGACCAGGTTACACNAGAGCCATTCAGGTGTCATGTTTCCCCCACTAGATTCTTGGAAACATTCTTTTGCCCCCTAGGGTTGGCTAGGGTTGTTGATCTATCAAATTTACAGCCTAGCATTAAAAAAAAATTATATATATAAAATAAATCTTATATTCTTATATAACATTGCCTCATATTACCTTTTTTTTTAATTATTATTTTTTCATTTTTTTTTAAATTAGTATTATGGCAATTCTTTCCTCCACTGCGACTTAAATAAATCTATTGAGGAACGCCTATAAATTAAAGCCATACCTTGGAAAGTGAGCTTTTTCTTGTAAAATTGTTTCTTATAAGAATGTTTGTAGTTCCTCCTGGCGAATCAGCATGTTTCTATCTCTGCTCTGCCCATCTTCTTCAGATGATTGTTAGGAGATGATAGTTTTTCTACATCATTTTTGAGAGATTTATAAATCTCTTAGCTTGCCTCATTCTTGGTGGATTTGTCCAGTGTTTAAGTTTTTCTTTCTCAAGCCATTTTTTCAGTTCCAACTTAAGTACACACTCAAGTGCACCTAGTTGTGATTATGGGCCCATGGGTGAGAGGGCTGCCCCTTTTATTATTATATTAACAATTACAGCTTTATTATTTACTTCGAGATGGTCTTATAGCGGTAGAAACTATATTTAATTTTTTTATGTTTTTCTAAAACTTTTCACATTTTTTAAAATATTAACATTGGTGATTTCTAGATGATGAAATTCAAAGTGAATTAGTTCCTTTACCTCTTAATTTATTAAGACTTCCTGAGAGAATGGGAAGGCCACAAGCTCAAGATCTACTTTTTGAAGCAAGAAATATCCCGCCGATGAGTTTCAGTACATATTTTGTTCAACGTATTGATAAAAAAAAGAATCTGACTTTTCTCAGATTTAAGAGTTATAATGAACATCAACCCAAGGAAGAGATAGGGTTTTATTTTACTGAGGTAATCATTTAATATTAAAACTGCAGTAATATTATTATTTATATCCATATTTCTTAATTTTAAGATGTTAAAACAACATTCCTTGGAGTGTAGAATTACGCACAATCGTATAATAATTATTGTTCATATACATTAAATAGTCTAGCTGTATTTCAAGGCTTGCTAAATGTAAATTCCATTTCCTTCAAGTCACCTACGAGTGGTCACTAGGCTAACCTTCATGCTGGTAGTCGCACATGAGATTTTCTCTCACAGTTCTTTTCTTTATTAATGTTTAATTAGAAATTTAATTTTTGAAGGATTAATATCAATTGGCTTGTTGTGCTTTTGAATGACTATAAATGGGTCACCTGAATAAGAAAAGGTTATGTCAGGTTGACACATGGACACTTAATTTCGGCAAAAACTCACATACGTGCCCAATAAGGTTGCTCAATGTATCCCACCTAATTACAGGGTGTTATTCCTTAGTGCTCTATATTGTGCTTGAGCATGGCACTGAGTATCTGAGTCACCCCTGTTTATATTTTTGTGTAATACTTTATAGATACCTAGAATGACACGATGTATTTATTAGCGTGAATGTGACGGAACATTGAGTATCCCATCAACACTCATAATATATATAGAGGGTGATGAAAGAATATCAAGTGCACCAGCACCCTCAGAGAATGGCATTTAAAGTAGGGAAAGAGTGAGTGTGAGAGTGTGAAGGGTTTGGATTGAGACTGATTGAGTTGGGGGTTGACCTAGTTGATGATAGCTCCTGGAACCCACTCTAGGTGGCTGGTCAGGTAAAACCATCCAACCCTGGACTGCCAACACTGGGTGCTTCAAGGTCTGCTGATAATTTATTGTAAATTACAAAAACTGGAATTTCAAGAGGACTGCAAGAAGTGATAGACTCAGCTCAGTAAACATGTGTTATTTACATCCCTGTGCAGAATTGAGCTTATATAAATAAATAATCATTAATAACTATAAAAGATTGTTTTAAATTAATTTAATTTTTAGGATTTCAAGCTTATAATAAACAGCAATTCTGGCGAATTGTTGTTTTTGGAAGTAAACAATGAACGTCATAAACTGCAAAACATATTTGGCTATTATACACCATCGGATAGTGGTTGGAGTTATAAACGCTCTGGAGCTTATATATTTAGATCTGCCAAATTTATTACGCTTGAATTCCCAATAGAATTTTCAGTATACAAAGGTAAACCGTGAATCGCAATAACTTTTTCCAAAATATACTCATTGTAATATATTGTATTGACAGTTGTAAGTTTGTGTTTTGATCTGACAAAATCTAGGATCGGGTCTGATAGACAAAAGCAACAAGTAAACTAGAATGATCAGAGAGGATCAGATGCAAACTCAATCTTATAATTCAATAAATAATAGTTTCTTATAATAATAATAATCATATTTTATAGGAAAGAACTTAATTGAAATTCATCAAAAATACTCTGAATGGATTTCCCAAGTTGTGCGCATTTACAAAGGACGTACTTTTGTTGAATTTGAATGGATGATTGGACCCATTCCATCCCAGGGGTAAATATTAAATGAAAAGTTCTTTTATTTATCAAACCAGAACTCATTATTAATTGAATTTATGATGTTTCTAATGCTTAATACAAAAGTTTAGATAATGAACTAAAGCGAAAACTATTTAGATCTTTTTTTCTTGAGACAATTTGACATCTAGTCAAAGAACTTTGGTCTAAACAATGATATTTGATGTACTAATTATTTATTAAATTAATTTTATCAAACACTTTAACACATTAATGCAGATTGGAATTCTATTTTCACCATTCTGAATGGTTTTTATCGTTGAAAAAAAAATTTCTTCATATTCATGCCTTCAGGTTAGCCATCTCACTGATCGGAATACTTTGACTCCCTTGAAAGTCAGTCACAATGAACGTGTTAATTAATAAAGTTTTTGCTATTTGAAATTTAAATTTTTGACTATCAATCCTTTGAAAATGTTATTAAATTTCAATACAAAATTAAATTCACTAATTTCTTAATCTTATTTACAAAGTGCAGACCACATTTACTAAAGAGCTTACTGTCTGATTGTATTACTTACCATGGCCTAGTAATAGATAAAAGGTAACATTTGCCTGCCCCATACAAAGCAGTTTAAACAAAGAGAAGGTGGCCATCAGATTTATCTTTTTTGGCAAGGGAGTCCAAGATGAGCACTTCTGACAAAAAGCTTTTGTACAACATGATAGTCAGACCTATGCTAACCATTCTCACCAGCCTTACCAATATTATTGCTAAATTGCAAAACCAATCCTACCCTAACATCTTAACAGGATTCTTAATGGGACACTGTGGACTGAATGGGCACTTGAGAAAGATTACAATTAAACCAAAGTGCTACACTTAATCACAGGAAAAAATGCTTTGGGATAATAACGTAACCATAAAAGAAAACCACTAAAACCGAGTGTAATAATCAAATTCCTTGATGAACTGGGACTTACCTGTCTGCTATGGGATATAAGTACAGAACGGGGGATACAATAACTCTCAATAGGCAAAATATTCCAAAGAGGTCACACAATTACACATTGACATAACATCAAATATATGTTATTTAACCATGTAAATTAACATGTAACGATAATAAAACAGCCCTAGTTATTTTATTGCATTTTATCATGTAAACCCTCTCAACCAATAATTGTTTGGCCTGTCTAAACATTCCCATGAATCTGTCATGTCAATTATAGGGATGGAAGGACAAAAGAGATAGTAACAAGGTATATAACCTCAATTGGGAACGATAGGAAATTTTTCACGGACAGCAATGGAAGGCGTTTTATGCCTAGGGCATATAAACCACATGAAAAGATAGAAGCTAATTATTATCCTGTAACTTCGGCTGGACGGATTTCAGATAAAAACTGTACACTCACTGTGTTGACCGATAGAGCACAAGGTGCTTCGAGTCCCGAAGATGGAATCTTGGAATTTATGGTAATATTAATCAGATTTTCTTGTCTCTTCATAAAAAATTTCAGAATAAAAAAACTAATTAAATAATGTTCTATGTTTCAAGCTTAATAGAAGGACAATGCACGATGATGGTAAAGGGGTTAATGAACCACTCCAGGAAAAAGTCATGGGAATAGGTTTAGTTGCTCGTGGAAAACACATACTGTGTTTCCACTCAAATGTTGACAAAGATAAAATAGCCAACTGTCACAGAAAGATGGCTCAAGAAATAGCTTATTCTCCATGGATGTCGCTCTCCTATACACATTTAAGTCGTCAAGAATGGCTAGCAGCCTACTCTAAAAAGGTGACACCTGAAAAAAAACAACCATTTTCTAAACAAATATTTTTAAACATCCTTTTGCAGGTTCCTTACATCAATTTATACATGATACCACCCAATATTCATATTTTGACTATGCAAAAGTATGCATTTAACAAAATTCTCCTTCGCTTTGAACATTTTTATGATGTTGAAGAACACTCAATTCTCAGTATGCCAGCGACGTTTCAGATATATGTAATTTTTTTACATTTCATTTATGCATTGTTTCTTTAAAAAAACATCAATGGATTTTTTTTTTCAGAATCTTTTTAGGAATTTCGAATTGATAGACATGAAAGAGATGACACTTGGGGCGAACAAAATAAAACAGTGCAATTCACGTATGAAATGGAGAAAATTATATAACAATACAACAAAGTATGCTTGGGATGATTACACCAACTTAACCTCATTTACTATTACACTCTCACCGATGGAAATAAAGACTTTCTTTTTAACTGTACGCCCTCTTAATTAATAGTTAGAGATAAATATTAAGTAAATTATTTAGTGTAGTTTAATATTAAGTTTTAAAAAAAAGATCATCATATGTATTTATATTAATAATATTTCTAAGCCATTTATTTGTATATATGATATATATATTTATATATATAACTTAACTTAATAATATAAGTTAACTTTCATTGGCCAATTGTGTGTGTGGTATTGAAACAAAAGAGATTGTAATTAAAAAAATATTTTAAAAAATAAAATTCTTGTGATTATGAACATAGCACACTTGTTCTAATACTAACCTTTTTTTGGTAACAAGTTAGCTAAAAACACTCATTAATGAGAATAGATTATTTTACCTGACAGATTTTGAATAAACCAAGTTGAATGCCCATAGAGTGGCGATTTAAACTACAGGTCTCATCCTTAGAGAATACGTTTCTTTTTTGAATTGGGACAGATTTTGTTAGCTTAAAACATTTAATGAATTGTAATTACAAAAGTTTAAAGATCTCTTTTACAAATAAGACATCAAAGTTAACTGAATGCCATTTTTTTAGGAGGTGAGATTTTGATTATATGTTAGTTTTATGTCACCAAATGTATAAAAATGTTAGGGGACAAAAAAAGTAAATATACTAATTTCTTATGTGTGTAATTTTTATGAATTTATTTTCCTAATAATGAATTTATACACAAAATTGTACAAAGTAAACATTTGATATATTATGTACAAACTCGCAATATTTAAGAATTGAATACGTAATATATTACAATGTAATTTGTTTTGAATTTTTTTTTTACGTTGTTACAATTTATTCTCTTTATTCTCTTCCTTTTTTATCCTGTGATTGAAAGTTGTAAAACATGAGTAATGAGAAAGTACACAGGTGCAGCAGAGGTTATATTAACCCTCAAGGTGCCGCTGGATTCGAACCCGGGACCTTAACCTTACAGTGATGTCAACGCCTAAACCGTTGCGGCCACTGGCACCCCTGGGTCACTATTTGTCATCTTTTGTGTAGTGGTTGCTATTCTGCGGATTCCATAATAAGTTCATAAGGTGTGCCCAAGTATATTCCAGTAATTCCAAACCAGATAGTGTGAATAAATCATTGCTGTTCATTTTTTGTTAGATTACTACACTTTATGATATGGTGAGCAAACATCTGAACAGTATTCTAAAATGGGACAGACCATAGCTTCAAACAAAAAACAAGGAGAAATATCATTAATAAATACTTTAGTAATGGGCTGAGTAACAACCCCTGAGGTTCACCAAACAAGACTGATATTCTTTTTTAAGTTACTCACTTGTACTTACCTTAGAAGTTTCACAATTTGATATCTATCGTGAAAAATAAGAGCTAAACCAGTTGAGGAGAGAATCATGTATTCCAAGAATGTTGAGTTTTTGGATAAGTAGAAAATAACCAACATTGTCAAATGCCTTGTATCAAGCCGAAGATCGTGGGTTCGAATCCCGCTCGTTCCATTGACTTTTTTATCTCAACTAAAAACCTTAATTAATTGTAATATATTAATTGGTCAAACGGACCACGAAATTAGTGAATTTAAGTTATATTTTCATTTTTCTTTAAATTCTTGTTTATAATATTATTCATCTCATTTATTCATTTTGGTTGCACTTTTGTTCATTATACTATTGTTCAATTGTTATTTGCTATTAACTTATATTTAGTTTTATTCATAAGTTTGTATTAGAAACCTGGCTGGTTTTTCTTTCTCATTTATGTAAAAGACTTAAGCTGTGAATTATTATAAATAATTAAATATATAGTCAGTACATATGCGATATTTGGATAATTAACTAATATAATAAACAAGTGTAATGTGTAAAGTTTTATTATCAAATAAATACATTTTTTGGCCAATGATAAACAAATTACACAAAATAATGTCATGTTTGGAAATGCATATTTGTAATTAAATTTTCACAGCCTAAATAATATCCATTTAGTTGTTGATTCCGTATATAAATTCCATTAAATAACTTAATACAATTACTTGTACACTAAATAAAAATATTTATCACTATGCATTTGTAAAGTACAAAATGAATTATAATAAATCAAACTGAATACTTTTTTATTTAAATGTAATTAATAAAGACAAAATAAATAATCTAAAAACAAGTATGTAAAACAACAAAAATTTTCTTTAATGGTTTGCTCATTTGTGTACTTTGTAGTTTACCTTTTAAAGTATTATAAATACTATTTTTAATACTCTTTTATTTTATTTTTTTATTTATTATTTTCTTTTTAAGAACAAGGAACATAGGGATTCAGATCTGCATACAGATTTTTAAATTGCATTCTTAATTTCTACTGTATATTCAAATTTAATTTGACTACCTTCCACTTGTATGTAGTATATTTTTCTGATGATTTTTTTATATTATAATACTAAATGCATAATACTAAATGTACATTCCTTGGAAAGTTCTACTTATTTTATTAAGTATATTTACTCTATATTTTAAGGAGTAATAGCAGTGAAAAAATTAAATAACTCTGGGTGAATAAAACCGACCATAAGGCACTTGTGGTTTATGCAATGATGATATTATTAAACTTATTTGTTCGGTTCTACCCACTTATATGAACCGTAGTATTTATAATTTGACTTTTTAGTCATTTCATCTCCTTCAACAGGACCTCTGGATCCAAAGCTAAAAAACAAAAATAAAATTATTACCAAAATTGTACTCATTTCATATTAACTTATTAAATTTATATAAATGTACTCTTAAAAAAATAACCAGCTACATGCAGACGTATTTTAGTTATTATTAGTATTTTACTAGTTGATTTTAGAAGGTTTTGTGTAAACTAACAATATACAAGTGTTAAAACAACATGAATTTATAGCATACGTGTATGGGACTGGCTGGACATTTTCATTTTCTATAGTATGCAAAAGAGGCGTAAAAATTCTCCACGCTTCTGCTAATTCATCAGATCTTACAAAATGCATCTGCGATCCACAGAAGACGTCGAGAATAAGCCTTTCGTATGCATCTGGCAATTTGACATCCTGAAAATATGAAATATTTATTTATATTATAGTCGTAAATTTATTCGTGTTGCTTATAACTAAATTCTTCTTACTTGTGTAGAAACCAGTGGTGTTCTGGCTAATTTAAAAAATCTGTCTATTAGATTGATAGATAATTGACAGACAGATAATTAGACAATATCAAAAAGATGTAGCATAGTTAGATGATTTTACAATCACCCAGAACACCTCTGGGCATTCCACAAAATAATAAAAACAGTTAAATATTTATTTAATTTTCATCTTGAGATTTTAAGCTGTTGAGTTATTTTATTACAGGAAAAGGAAAATAAAACATGTAATATTACCAAAACTTTAAAATTAACAAGTTAATATTCAGCTTAAGACAAATTTCATAGGTTTTAAACGTAGATAAATAAGAACTTGGAAATAATAAATAGTCGAAAAATTTGAAAAACAATTACTAATTACCTAAAATTCTTGACTTTAACTATAACTTTAATTATTCATTTGGAGGTTAGAGTTATGTGATTAAGATCTCAAACACAATATTCTAACCTACAAATTATCATCGAAGGCTGATACACCCTCACAATGACTCTAATTATATTTAATTAACAATTAATTCCACTAGTTTTCGTGGTCCAATTTTAATTAATAATATTTTTTCTACATGGAAACTTATGTCAAAACGCTTTTAGAAACAGAAGATTGAGAATCAACCCTTTATGTGAAAATCACCTTATATCTGCTACCGTATGTTAGGTCTAATTCTGATTCTTCCATGCTGAATGTCATTCCAGGTGTTTTTGTCATCATTTTGATGTATACGGCTTCACCTGGCTGTACTCTTATGACCAATTCATTTCGTTTACATTTATTGTCAAAAATATCACCAGGTACGTCATGGTACTGGATTCTAATTTCTGCTTTTCTTTCGTTCAATGCTAAAAAAAAATTTTTTTCATTATAAGATGAGTGTTTAACAATTTGTTTGAGTTCAATTACCTTTCCCACACCTTAATATGAAAGGTACACCTTCCCAACGTTCATTGTTAATTTTAAGTACAGCGGTACAGAATGTTGGAGTCCTTGAATTTTTGGGCACGGTGGGATCGTCAAGATATCCTTCGCATGCTTCTCCAGTACCATTTGGGTCTCCGACATATTGGCCCAATACTACATCCTCTAAACTCAATGGTTTTATAGATTGCAGAACTTTTACCTTTAGAAACAATTAATCACCTAAATTAGTAATTATTTATTAAGATGTGATGACTGATTTTAATTATTGGTGGTTGTTTGGGTAATTCAGTCAGAATAATCCTTATACAGATTAAAATGGCTGGTGCATCATAACAAACAATTCAAGACAATGGATGAAAATCTGCCAAAAGCTCGAAAGTGGAAATGAAATTTTGTTAATTTCTTTCAAAAAAAGGCCTCAACCCTAATAATCTAACCCCCAAAGGATTATCATCGAATGGTGATACATACATCCTTACAAGGATTAAAATGGTGAGTGCATCACAATGAATAGCTCATGATGTAGAATGAAAATCTGCCGAAAGCTCAAATGAGAAAATTAAATTTTGTTGATAACCAAAAATGGCCTCAACCCAAATACTCTAAAATGGCTTAAAATGGTGAGTGCTTCACAAAAAATGGTTCCTGGTAAAGGCTGAAAATTTGTTGAAAGCTCAAGTAAAAAAACTGAAATTTTGTTGATTTCTTAAAATAATAATAAAATAAAATAATCCATTATAGTTCGTGGTTCGATTGACCAATTAACATTTTTCAATTAATTAATATTTATGAAAGGTATTGGTCGAGATAAAAAAGTCAGTGTCACGAGCGGGATTCGAACCCACGACCTTCGGCTAGATACGCCGCTACTCGTGACACCACTTGAGCTATCATGACTTCGATCCACTTGCACACCAGTTTGAAAGGTAGCTTGAGGTGGGAAGTTGGTGTCCGAGTGGATCAAAGTCATGATAGCTCAAGTGGTAGAGTAGCGACGTATCTAGCCGAAGGTCGTGGGTTCAAATCCCGCTCGTGACACTGACTTTTTTATTTCCACCAATACCTTTCATAAATATTAATTAATTGAAAAACGTTAATTGGTCAATCGGACCGTGGACTGTAATTCATGAAAACTCCGTGGCCATTTCATTTATCGCCGAGAATCAAATAGATTACACGACATTTGAAAAATGGCAAAAGGGAGGGAAAATTCGAGAGGTGAGGTTGAGATGGGAAGTTGGTGTCCGAGCGGATCAAAGTCGAGATAGCTCAAGTGGGTAGAGCAGCGGCGTATTTAGCCGAAGGTCTTGGGTTCGAATCCCACTTGTGACACTGACTTTTTTTATCTCGACCAATACCTTTCATAAATATTAATTAATTGAAAAATAAAGATAATGTTTTTTTAAAGTGCCTCAGAGAATCTTTGATAATAAATAATATAGTCATCAGTGATGCCTTCCTGATTAACATTACTTTACTTCTTATTTAATTTACTTCTACTTTAAACAATAAAAAAGCCATCATTAATTAATGTATTACGCTATCAACATTTCTCACTTTTTCATTTCGAATGTCATCAGGGTGGATAGTTGCAGGTTTTTCCATAGCAACTAAACTTAAGATTTGAAGGAGATGGTTTTGCATAACATCTCTTATGATTCCGAACTCATCAAAATAGCCTCCTCTTCCTTGAGTACCAAATGGTTCTTTAAATATAATCTGAACCGAAGCTATGTGAAGACGGTTCCAGGTTGGGCTAAAAATCCCATTTCCAAATCTGTAACATAACCTCCATTTAGTAGTTGTACAAGTTTCAACTTGCATTTCAAAGTTAATTGATTATGTACCTTAATATCATCAAATTCTGAACCATTTCTTTTCCCAAATAATGGTCTATTCTATAGATTTGCTCTTCTTTGAATAACGAGGCTAAATGATCGGACAATTTCGCAGAACTATCTGCATCTTTCCCAAATGGCTTTTCAACAATGACTCTAGTCCAGCCCCTGTTTTATGAAAAGCTATTTAAAAATATTTTCATATTTTGTAGGTAACAATAACTTACAAAACATTAAAAAATAAATCAAATTTATAACAATATAAGAGGTTTTTTTAATAAAAGAAATGTCAAGGCAACAAAAATAGTAGTTGCGTTTCATCACTATATTATCTATTGAAAAGTAATTAATTCCAATAATACAATAAAGTCAGATATATCTTACTTAAAAACAAATAAATCCAAACTCACTTTGCAGACATACAAGTGTTACGCAAATTGACTGTAACACTTTCAAAAACAGAGGGAGGCAACGCTAAATAAAAAAGCCTGTTAGCACTGGCTGATGGCTCGAGTATGTTTATTTCTTGATTCAAATGCTCAAAATCAGATCTCGAAGTGTAAGAACCTTTAATGTAATAGTTGAGATTCCAGAATTGTTCGTAAAGGCTCTCCTCATTAGGGTTAACCTAAAATTTTACACCCTTGTATAGTTTCATTGAAAATATTGAACACATTTATTAATTGAATTTTTACTTTCATGTAACTCTTGCAACGTTCTTTTAATTCAGCGATTGATATATCTGATCTAGCGTAGCCAAAAAATACTATGTTACTTGGTAAAAGTCCATCTCGATACAACCACCAAATCGTAGGGTAAGTCTTCTTTTTTGCAAGATCTCCCTAGAAATAGAGAAAACACATTATTCCATTGGTTTATAAATTTAAAATACAAAAATTAAAAAAATTTTGTTCTTTACTCACTGATGCACCGAGAATAATAAAAGTGTGGTGCACATTTCCTTCAAACTTGGTCCCTTCTTGCTTCATGTTTGGTGACCTTAGCGATTTCCTCATTAAGTTAAGGGTTTCCGAATAATCTTAAAAATAAAATAATTATATAAAACATAAATAGACTCCAGAATTATTAATATGGTTATAAACTGAAGTGTAAGTGATTAAAAGAAAGTGGTAGAATCAGTGGGCTGCATATCAAGAGCACTGTCGATAGGTGGCCATTGTAGCACCTGACTTAGAGAAGAAAGGTCATCTTCAAAGACTGATAATAGGCCATACGAGGTTGACACACAGACACTTTAGGCCAAAGTACGTGTAAGTGTCCGGAATGGAGAAAAAAGTTGCTCAATGTGTCCCAACTAACTGAAAGAGCTCCATATGGAGATTGCATAGGAATGCCACCCAATATGAGAATTGTGCTTGAGCACGGAGTATCTCGATCCTCTGTTCCAATTTTTGGAGGAAATAGGGTTGTTTATTGTATTTAGTACTGCTAATTTATGCCCCTAGGTTGTGCTGAGTGAATGTATTTATTTGCCTGAATGTGTAGTGTAAGAGGGTTGATATTGAGAATTCCACCACTATAATTGAGTGTATGGTATGTATTTGGTAGAATGTATTTAAGAATGAGTGAAAGTGTGAATGGATTTAGGAACAGATTGCTTTGGGTGCTGAATTGATCTAGATGTTGACAGCTTCTCTCCCCCGCAGAGCACAACCTTGGTGGTTGAATGGATAAGACTGAGACTGCCTTCAGACTGCCAACACCTGGGATGAGTGATTTTTGAGGCTTGCCGTTGATATACTGTTAAGTACAAAAGCTGAATTACTGGTGGAGTGTGAGAAATGATAGGCTCAACTCGGTACATGTGTGTTTATATGTACATGAGCAGATTTGAGCTTATATAAATCAATAATAACCAATAAACTCAAACTCGAATAAATCTTGAACTTAAACTAGGGGACTTTCAGGAATTCACCAAAGTTACAATAATTAGATAAGTTATGGACCCTTCTGAATAAGCTAAATTCGGTAAATATAAAATATTGACAAATACGTATTTAATTTGTTATAGTTTTGTCGTTTCTGATCATAGGATATATTGAAAATGATTAAACTGTAGAAGAACCCATGAAGAATAACATCATCAAATCTTAACCCCGGCCATGACGTTGAACAGTCCATCAACCCTGGTTTAAGACATCTTGAAGCTTAGCTGGAAGGTATGGTTAATGGTCGATCCAAACCGTTAGTAGGGTCACTAGGTCGTCTTCTAAGGCTTTGGTAGATGGTGGTAACAGAATGACGGGTGTTCATTATCCACCCTCTTACATTTTTTTTTTTTTTTTTTTAAAGAAAAACATGCTTTTATAATGCTTGATTTATAATACTTGCATATAACACACCAGATGCACTCATTCGGGCCTCCGTAAGCTAAACTCAGACGGAAAATAAAACCTTACTTTTATATTAAATTCTTTCTCCTGTATCAAGTTTATCTCATTCGGGGTTAATCCCGAGAGAGTGGAGAGAGGGGTAAGCCACCCACATATCTAGGGGTGGGTAATGGAATAGTTGGGCGGCAGAGCCACCTTCACGGGGGAGGCGGTATTATTCCTTTGATTATTACTTCCACCGGCGGGCGGTGAGCCATATATATTTGGTTTAAGGGTGTTTGTCAACCCCATGATAGTTTTATCTGGGGTGGAGTGGCAATCATAGAGGAAAAACGTAAAGGGCTTAGTATGTATCTCCAAGGTCGGGCAGGGCATGGTCTGGATGGAATCGCATAAGTTAATACTAAGTAGAATGTATTGACCTTTATATCAACAACCCCTAATTTGGCAATACTGATTTTCTCCTCTGAGCAGCAGGCCAAACCTCTTGCTTATATAACAACCTTGGTAAATAAAGATGGACCAGATCATATACCATCTTTTAAGAGCAGTGTCTCCTGATCGAACTATGAGGAAACTTAAGGTGAATTGGAAGTAGAAGCATAAATGTTTTAGTGACCAATCGTGGGTGTTGTAGAGCTAGTGAGTGCCGTTACTTAAAAACAAAGGAGTGTTGCATGCTCATTGGCTCTGTTTGGAAAGACGGAAGCATTGTCGAAATAATGTTGACTGCTAGCACTTTTGAAGCATTAGGACGGTTCCCGTAAGTTGCAAAAGTTTAGTAAGTTGACCCAGCAATTTCCGAAGCTATACTGTTATCAACCAACCCACAGAGTCAGCACTGGGTATGCTTTCTACAAAGACAGGTCGAAAATTTGACGCGAGTTATTTGCCCCGAAAAAGGCCAAATATAGAGCCGAAAGCTTGGCATCTGAATAATACAGTGTTGGATTAATTGTAGGATCACTATCCAATTATCCCAAACCAGAGTATAGCCGGGATTGGTCGATAACAGAAAAACTTCGTAACATAATAGTAAAACTTGACAATCAGCTCGTACTATGCCAAGACAAGAAAGGTTTGCCAAACTGTTTTGTTTTTGAGACCATTCCGAAGGATTTGTTAAATTTGAGTTTGTTCCTGAAGATAAATTCGGAATTATGTTCAGCTCAGCAGGCCTTCTAACCGATTCGTATCAATCAACATAGACTGAGCAGTTGCATTAACTGCTGGCTTCGTTAGTGATTATATCTTGTCAACGAATATAGTTAAAGACTTTATGGAGGTTCAGCCCAATGCCTGTGCTTATATAGAGGAGTGCTAAATGTTCGTTGGTTGCTGCTTCATTGCTTAAAGTAGTAAATGTAAAGTAAACGCCTGTGTATATTGGTGGTGGAAAAGTGGTGGAAAGGACGAAATTCATCCTAGACAAAACCCTTGGGACACAATTCTTCAATCTTCCAAGCTGAGTTCCATAGAATTGAAATGAATTATTGCACACATCTAACATAATGCCGACTACACGATTATACGGTATTAAATTGATGTATATCTTAAGCTCCATACTAGGAGGGCTAAATACACTTTTTATGATTGGGCTCGTCCCTTCTTATGAGTCTGGAGGATGCTGTTCCTTCTCAACCAGCATGATTAGAGTGCCCTACAAGAAAGTGAATTTTCCCCGCTACCGTTTTATGGTTTTCAGTTCCCATTATATTTACTGTAGAAGACGTCCAGTGGTTTCTTTTCCGGACACTAATAAATAAACAAATGAGACAAGTGAAAAATGCGTGGAAAATTGAGTGCTAACTGATTATTGTGCCTGCATGCGTCTTAGTAAAGATACATAAGGCGACCTGCTGGCAGTCAATATTACTTCGACAATGATTTCGCCCTTCCAGCCATCATCCAATGAGCAGGCAGCACCCCCTCTATTTAAAAAAAGTAAGATCTCAGCCGGCTTAGTTCGATGAGTTATCACGATCACTAATGTAGCAAAAAGATAATATAAAGAAGCCACCCTCACTAGTCTCACTGAACCGTAACAAGTACACAAGCAACAGGGTTCTCTCAACAGTTCAACACTCTGTTTTGCCTAGTAGCTATGGATTCAGTACAACCATCCGGCTCATTGACCACGACAACCGACGGGCCTCGCAGGAGGACGCTGCTTTTGAAAGATAGTAGATGGCTGTTCTAACGATACTTTCCAAATTTTGTGTGTACTATTGAAAAAAGACTAAGCTGGAAGGAAACAGAGCCATGACATGACTTGGTCACTAGAGCATAAGTTTTTGCTTTCAATTCACCATCAAGTGTCCTTGAAGTTCAAGGATCAGAGGACAATGCTCTCGAAAACTCGTATATGGCCTGTTCTAACTTTACTTTCCAAGGTTCATGCTTCCTGTTGGAAAAAAAAGACAAAGTGAGAATTGGGAAGGATACAGCTCCACCGCATCAAAGGGCCCATTCTCAGGTTTGTTGAAGTAAAGACAGACAAGGCTAGGTCAATACAGCCTCCTTGATATTAACCTATGAATTTGGGAGAGGTAAATGACCATTGTCATCATGCCCTGTTCAACCAAGACTGACGAGCTCTCACATTCAAATGTAGACAAAACTAATCACAGCTATTTTTTTATTCAGGGGAAGAGTTCTTATCTCTTCTAACTTTACTTTCCAAGGTTCATGTGTCCCATCGTAAAATTGGCAAAGTGCAAAGTGGGAAGGAAACAGTTCCACCGGCCTTCCAGGCCACCACAGGATCTAAGCTACAAAACCATTTTGAGTCCATGGCTTGCCATACTACATATATGGTTTTTCATTGCTTTGGAAGCATCTGCTTGAGTAATACTTATTTCATTTCGTGTCTTTGTTCTTGTGTGTGTCCATCAAGGTACAAATTAGAAAGTGTCTCCTATCAAGACATTTCTAGATGATTACTAATGTTTAATAAACCTAGTAATTTGTGGCTGGAAAATACCACCCGTATATAGTAATTGTTCAATTACAAAATTTATATCAATTGCATTTATACGGTATAATTTTATGCATTAAAAAAACTGTGGTACAATTCTTTAACCAAACCTTTACAGGGGTCATGATTTTTTTTTATAATTCAATGTATAATTTGTGTTAAACAATACATGTGATGTAATAAAGTAAATTAAGACAAAAGGAGGAGAATCACATTGTGAAGCTTATCAGTATTTATCCACTAGAGTATCCGGCGTTGCGTTTGATCGTTGAAAGATAATCGACGAAACCATATGAAATCATTGCGACAATAGCACCCCGAACCTTATAATTTTACCTGTTCAACCTGCAAACGGAAGCCATCCGGAAAAATCATTAACTTTGAAGCTAGTACATGAGAAATTTGGCCACTTTTTGGGAAAAAAAAGTTTAAAATTAATCAACTTACTAGAGTTAGCCATGCTGAGGTAAAAATATAGGAGCTCGTCCTAATCCAGTAACAGAACAAATCCCAAATCTGAAGTTAGAAAGTGAAGGGAGTAAGGGAGCGAAAGTGGTTCGAGACCTTGTCCTATAACTCAGCGATCGCGAACGTCCTTGTTTCTATAGATTTGTGTCAGTATCGGCCTCCCTCCATGTTAATCTTATTCATCACGTGCTGTCTAGCCTAACTGTTTAATCGTCCCATCCAGTTGGATATATAAGAGGAGGAGAACAATCGCGTTATCGGATCCCGACAACGCGTGATCTGGAAACCTGCTGATTAAAACTTTTTTTTTAAAGAATTTTTCCCCCGGCGGTGGGTGTCTCGACTAACAAGTAAATATATGAAACACGAAATTTTTTTGATGACCGGCTATCAGTCGAGAGTAGAGACGAACTCCCCACGCCACGTTCTTCGTTTCACAACTTTATCCTTGCAATAATAAGGGGGGGCTTCTCAAAGCCCCACTCTTCAATGGTGAAGAGAAGAATTTCTATGTCTAAAAGTACTCTAGTTAAAAAAAGAAAAAATTCTCTAAAACCTTTATCAAATCTCCTGGTTTAAGTCACCCAAATGTTAACGCTGAAGACATTCCCTTAAAATGATGTACCATGTGACCCGATTTTTCTCAACAAAAACTGAATTTTTAAACATTTATCATTTACAGCTGCACAAAGACAATCTAATATGTACTGAGGTTTGGCATGACTAGAACCCATAGTTCTGATATCTCCCAGCATCCTATATCATACCAGACCTACATAACAAGAGTTTAATCAAAAGCCAGGAAGGCGTTAAAAGGACAAAAAAAATTCCTTCTTAATTTGTTGATGTGTATTTTTACCCTTTTTTTAGTCCTCAAGGCTCAATACTCTTACCTATAGACAACATCTTAAATACTTTCTTTTTTTAAGTAGGGCGATGATGTCCACTTTTGTAATTGGGGCACTTAATAGGGCTCGAGCCTCTTGACAGGTCATAATTGGGCCTCGACCGGATTCTCCGTAAGCTAAGTTTACGCTGTTTATTTCGGTTACCTGAGGCTTATCTTGTTGTATATTGACACGTCTCAACCCAACAGTTGAACCGATGTCTTCCTTCCCTCTTATTGTTAGTCTTTTTCCAAAACACATGAACCTCGGAAAGTAAAGCGAGAACGGGCCGTTTACAATCTCTCAAGAGCGGTGTCTCCTAACCCTCGAAATTTTACAACCTCTGCCGAGTGTCGGCCGATCATCAGAAGCCATAGTAGACCGAACGGACTGTAGTGCCTCGGGCACCTTTGAGCCAAGTACAGCGATGAGTACTTTGAGACGACTCTCTTGCTTGTGTGGTTGTTACGTTGCTGCTTGTTCCATTACTGCACATGATAATTTCTCGAAGAGACTTGCTTAAGCCTATTAGTCCTTACTTATAAACAGATGGGTGCTGCATGCTCATTGGGTGCTGTTTGAACAGCGAAAGCATTGTCGAATTAGTTACTGCCAAGAGTGTGCCACAGGTGGACATTTTAGTAAGCCTCAGTTAACTAGCTCTTTTGAAGCAGGATTATTCCGAACAGCTCTAGAAGTATCCTTCTAAAATAATCGTAGTAATAGTCATGTATAGTCTGGGAATATTTGATACATGGTCCTTCAGCCTATATTGTCCTTCAGCCATCACCATACATTCGGCTCTCCAGAGCTGATCTAGCAATTTAAAAGATTATTCGGTTATCGACCAACCCTGGCTATACTCTGGTACCAGTGTCGGCACTGTACTTTCTATAACGACATAGGTCGAGAATTTGGTGAGAATATTAGTTGCCTTGAGGAAGGCCAGATATAGTGCCGAAAGCTTGACAACTATATAATACAGTGTTGGATTAATTGAAGGGTTACTGGCTACTCAATAATCCTAAACCAGGATATAGCCGTTAACAGATAATCTAACATAATACCTGGGTCGTTAGCTCGCACTATGCCAAGACAAGAAAGCTTTGACAAAAATTCGTTGTAATTTTCTGGCCATTCCGTAGGATTTGTTAATTTTGAGTTGGTTCCTGATGATCAGAACGAAAAATTCGGAAGTCTGTTCAGCTCAGCAGGACGTCTAACAGATTTGTAACATAGTAAAGCAAAGCCTGAACTGTCTTCTGTTCTGGTTGCTTATTCCGTTAGTTTTGAGATTTCGTTTTTTAAAGACTCGGATTTAAAGACTCAAGAGGTCAACTCAAACAAAACAGCTTAGGGGTTTAACAAGTAGTCAGAGTGACCAAGCTGTAAGACAGTTGCGCCCTAAGCTATGAGGTAAGTTGCGTGCCCTGTTGAGTGTCCCTGCCATCTTGACAAAGGAAAGGACAAAAGGACAAAGGAAAGATCAGAGTGGTAGCCAAGCCAACCTGCGCACTATTTTTGATTCCGTTCATTTTTCATATGGAGTTTTCATTTACAATAAATTACATCGTTTTGGTCGGTACCCCTACCTGCTTTTGCCCCTGACCACTGATACTGGCGCTAAGCCTAAACGCACTTCACAGCTGAAACATGGACAATACCAGAGCAAAATAATCATTAACGACCAAGCTGCAGGTTTGTCACACCAAAATGGTGAGTTTTTGTCCTTGTCTCTCCCTGCTTCTAGTCCTGTTTACGACTAGACTGTGATATGTGGCATTAAAAATCATAACTAAATTGGACGACAAGTAAGAAAATTGACTGTACATAAATTTGTCAAAGGAGAAAAAAGTAAAATAAAAAATGTGACTAATTATCAGATTACAAGATAAACTAATGCACTTTTCACAATAATTAGTCATGATAAACCGCAGTATTTCTAATCTGGTTCAATGTTGAATAATTAATTCTGTATTATTACTTCTTTTTTGTATAAAAGTCATTAGTTGCAATTGTACGAAAATTGTTTAAAATATTTTACAAATTAATAAATTGACCTATGCATTTACATTTTATATGGCGTTTCTGAAGTGGTTAAAGGTTGAATGTCTTGAGAAGCCAGTTTATATTTAGCTTCTTCAATCGATTGAAATGAATGAAATTTCCTTAATCGTTTATTGAGTTTCGAGTGCATCGGACTTTAAGTACAGAGTAAAGAAACACGCTTGATACATCTTCTTGACAAGAGAAATAAAAAAAAGCAGACCTAGAATCAACAGTGCAAATCGAACAGTGACATAAAAACATTTAATAAATTCCGAATCTTATCTTTTTTAATATTTTCTATTTGTGCCTCTACGTACCCTGTAGAAGATAAGATATAGCTATAATTGAATAAAAGACAAAAAACACAATCGGTCCTTGGAATGTCAGGATTGTTTACGTTTTTTCCCTCTCGGCTTATGAATAAATGTTTACACCAATATTACGACTACAATAAGTTTAAAGATGTTATCTAAAATAGTGAGATTACTTTATGAACCGTTAGTGTGGTAGTTTCCGAACATTTTGGGCAGACAGACGAGTTTCTTCTCGCCATCTTCGGTTCTGAGTCCTTGTATGTGCGGATGTTTCATTAAGTCCAGACCCCACATAGAAAATGGCGTGAACGCGTCTGACAGACCAAAACAGCACAGGAATTTATGTTTAGGCCATGGGACTATTATAGTTAAATGAAAAAAGTAAATTAAACTAAAATAAAACGATTACGCCCGTCGGTCTGCTCCAAGGCCGTAGAGTTTTCCGCCGGGAATGATGAGGAAAATGCAGTGGACACCTTGGATGTAAAACATAGACCATACTTCTTGGGAGGTAATTTTCTCGAAGTTGAAAAATAAAAAGAGGACTACATTTTTCTGAGGAGAAAGACGTTGACTTCGGTTAGAAATCGAGAAGAACCAAAGCGCAACGGCAAGAGAAAAACAAAATACTGCCGAAAAGAGGACCTTAATTAACGACTTTTTTTTAATAAGAAAATGAAATAATTTTACTTCGGCGTCAACGATTTATTTTCCCAACCAACCTCACCCTCGAACCTAAAGGAGACCCCCAAACCCCAATACCAACCGACCACGGCCCTTAATTAAACCTATTGGAGCTTTTCGATAAAAACTGAAAGCTGATTATTACAGTTTAAACATATCCACTCATAAACAACGTCCATCCTCTACATCTTCTGAAAAGAAGGCCTTCATAAGGCGCTGTTTGGCTCAAAAATTAATTATAGATAACACGTACAACCGAGTGACAAAATTATAGACACACCCCTAATTGTTATGATTTTTTAATGTAATGGGTTTGTACTACAAACATTTATTCAAAACACATGAAATAAATATTTTTCTTCATTAAACAATCATTTTTCAGTAAATAGGAGAAAAAATTATTAAAATACTAAAATTAAATGATTTTGTCTGCGACGATGGGATAAAATCAATTTAAAACAAGGCTATAATATTTTGTGGCATTACCACTCAGTTTTATTATTTCCAGTAATCTTTCTGGAATGGTTTTGTACCAAGTTTGAATAAAATCTTGAGGCAAATTATTCCAGGCATTGGTGACAGCTGTTTTAAGTTCGTCGACTGCTTACAGTCTTGATATACCATCCTCTATAATTTTCCCCATACATTTTCTATAACGTTCAAGTCTGGTGAGAGTGCAGGCCATTCAAGTTTTTCAATGCTGTTCTGTGAAAACCATTCTTTAACAATTTTTGCATTGGGTATGGGTGCGTTGTCCTGGAGTCCGTGGAATATTGGGGTCCCTTCGCATACATCGCTGAAACTAGTTTTTTCTTTGTCCGGTAATTTCTTGTAATATTCCGAATTGACTTTTTTTTGGAAGAAAACAAAGATTCCCTTTTTTATTACACTCAATACACCCCCAAATCATCAAAGATCCACGACCCATTTGGCGCCGTGACAAAATTTTTTCTTCTTTAGTCAGATCATGAAAGAAGTATGCTTATCAGTCCGGGCCGTCCGAATTGATTTTTTTTTCGTCGGAAAAAATAACTTTTCGCCATCTTCATTTTTCAAAATGTGGTTTTCAGCAAATTTGACACGGGCTAGATTGTGGTGGGGTTTCAGAGCTGGTTTGCGTTTCAGTTTTCTTCGGACTGTTTTCAGTTTTTTTAAGGAATCTCTGAACAGTTTGAACGGAAACATCAACACCTGCCTTCTCTGCGAGGCTTTTGCAGTCGAAAAGCTGTTTGAAGCAACGCGCAGGACGTGCGATTTGTCTCTTCTGGTCAAAGAAGGTCTTCCAGAGCTATGCCCTCTTCCGTAGTCTTCACCTAGCCGTATTATCTTCGATACCGATGAAAAACTTCGTTTTATGCGTCGGGCGATATCTCGGCTGCTCATTCCATCTTCATTGAACAAGTGAATCAACCGGCGCTCCTGATCAGAAAATCTTTTTCCTTCGGGCATTTTAAAATAACTTTGAATTGCTCCAAATGAACTCACAGTAATTACTTTACTAAGGCACGGTACAGTGAATACTG